TGATAAATAAGCGAAGCATTTTCCTCGATACATTCCTTCTCTTCGAACAATAACGAGTGTGTGTCTTCGTTTTTGTTTTGCGAAGACTCCACCAGTCAGGAGTCTCGAGAGGAACGATATCGAGGAGATAAAGATGGATAAGGTGCGGCAACGATCGGGAAAAGAGAAAAATCCAAAGGCTTTACTTTCGATCGAGTGCGGACGGAGGTTCTTTTAGCGAAATTGCTTCAGTTAATATGTGATAAGTGCTAACGACGATTGCCTTTGTTCGATCGTATTGAAACAGAAGATGGTTACATCGACGTCTATATTGGAAATTATCCTCTGAATTTTGCAAATCTAAAGTGTCTCATCTTGGTATCGTGTAAATGTGAATACCAATACAAACGCGATACACAATTTAAACACTGGCAATTTTCCGTAGACGAAAGTTCTCGAAAGCTAACAGGAAACTTCGTTCTTTAACTTAAGTTCGATGATGTTTGTTGTATGTGAATAACGTTAAGAGGAGGTAAATTTCAAAGGTATTTTAGTTATTGCGTGCAGCTTATGCAGAGAAGTTAGAAGAAACCATTTGTAGTATAAAACCGACAGAGGTAAAGAAATACTTCTTGAAATAATATAACGAATTACGTAAGTACGTGCAGGCGGTTTGGCGGCAACGTGTTTATTCTCACGAAGGAATGTGTTTACTTTCCTGTAAAACATGAATATACTCGTTCGCATTCAAAGTATGGTTGCGCCATTGTTTGGAAAGGATAATAACGCATCAAAACACGTTGCGTTATTTTACAAGGTTTTGCATATTTAATTAACGAATAATATTTTACTTCCAAGTTCTGTCATTCGATACATAATCCCTTTTTTAAACTATAGGAAATATATCCAAAAATATATGAGACGTTTCTAGACAGCGAAACAATGAAAATGGTTATATACAAAGACGGAACACGTCGTACGAGACAAATGTTATCTTACATCTTCGACTTTTACGTACAGAATCACGTTCTTCTCGGTTGTAGTAGGATTTCGGAAACACCCTATGTGAAATAGCCACGTAAAATCCGTTTCTCAGTCAGACTTCACCTAACCTATCCTCGCAGCGAGAGTTTGACTTGCGAATCGCATTAATATATCTTAGCAAACTTCTAGTCGTCAAGATCAAGCAAATTCTAAGGAAGAATTGTAAAGGAATTCGCAGCACGAGAGACACCATCAATGATCATTACCACTCTCTGGCTTGAACAGCGAGAGTCGTTAACGATCCACGTTCTACGAAAGCGGTGGAGAGAAAAAAAGAGACACGAAGTGAGGTTAGGACCGACGGATGCGGTGGAACAGCGGGAGGAAGGATGAAACCTTTGGCGAGGGACACGCGTGTGTCCTTTCGGCTGCCGGTTGCCTCAGCAACAGAGTACCTTCCGTCTCGCTGACCCGTCGTTTCCGGTGACACGGATGGCCTTTCCTCTCTTCGACGTTTCAACCCCGGCTGGAACGCGTCTCCGAAGAAGAGAGGAAAGGAAAAAAAATGTACGAGAGTCAGGGGAGGCCGGTAAAGGCCGCCATTGTTCGACGATGGCCCAACTATTTTTCGTGGTGGAACGAGGTGGAAGAAAAAAAAAAAGAAAGTTTCGCGAGTTTGCTGTTGGAATTATTCGCCGCGCAGATGGAGCCACGAGACATCGAGATTCGGGACCGATGTTTTTACGGCATCACTCGATTTACGAATATCGCTGGAAGGAACGGAATTTAATTTGACCAGAGAATGCTTTTCGTAGATGGTTTTTGGTGAACCTAGTGGATCGAATAATGGAGCTGGATATTGTGGAGCAGAAATGGCCGATGTATAGGGGGTGAAATCGTGAATGGTTCATTGGAACTCTATACGGATTATATCACGTTATTGGTAACGGTTATCTAAGTTGAATTTGTTTTTTTTTTTTTTTACTGGTACGTATATTTTCTTTTTTCATATTTATAACTTTTCGTTGTTATTTCTCTTCCGAGTATTCGTTACATTCGAACAAATATTTCGAAATTTACTCTGTTCCATACAAGTAGGTTATTTTTGGATTGTAGGAGACTGTCGAAAAGTGGGAATTGATATTTAATCGATTGAAACGACGAGTTCGATTACACGAGAAGGGATCATTTTTCGCGCCGTTTCTCCGGTTGAAAAAAGGTACATAAACCGCATGATTAAACAGGTTTGCTCAGAATCATTCGGCTGTGACCTCGTTTCACACTGCATCCGTTTAAACGCGAGTATAACTCCATTAAGTCGTACTTAAATATCACTTAAACGGCGCGCAAATTCATTCCTCTCGGACTATTACTCTTCTGTGAAATATCAGAGAAACAATAAGAATATGAAATTTGTACATCCAGTGGAAAATCATGCACGCCACCCTGCACGAACTTTTGTTTTTCATTAAACAATTTTTTAAGAGACTAAATTAAGTTCGTTGTTTCTCAAACAAAAACGGAAATTAATTAATTTGTTTTCATGCTTGTCTATATATATATATTGTATATAATGATTTATATGGCTGGCAAAATTATGAAATTTGTAAAAAATTATCATATTTATAAAATAATTTATGAAATAACATTCTCATACGTTGTTAAATATCATGTACGTTTTATTTATGAAAGTTGATAATGAAGGCTATTACAAAACTCATTAAAATTCGATATATATGTGTCAGAATAAATTTCATATTTCTTAACTTGGCTGATAACGCGTGATGATATGATAAAATTTAATGAGCGGCATTGACCCATCAAATTCAAAGAAACGACATTTCATATACGCATCGATCTAATATTTACTCAATGAACCTCTGTTTTTAATGCATTGGAACGTTTCCATTATATGTACATAATATTATATGCTACAGCTTCGACTATTGGAATATTCCCAATACGTATACGGAGTATCCCACAGGTTTCTATACAAACTTTCCTACCATGTTCAGCGGCTAAAAATAACATAAAAGTAGTATATAAATGATAATTTTTAACCCCTTAACGTTTCAGAATCTTAAATTTTAATATCAATTGATCAACGTACTATATTCCGGATTCCAGAGCATAGAACACAGAGTTCCGAGAATTTATTTCAGTGCACGAATATTTATTCTCATACGATAAAATATAGCTAATAAATATATAATAATAAAAATATTAATAAAACCAAACTTCGAATTCTTCTACAAATTCGACATTATTTTTAAAGCTACAATATTACGCACTAAAATTCTTACTCGACAGTTTTCCATCAATTTTCCTAAGGAAAAATACTCTAGAAATCTAAAAAACCAATAAATCTACTCGAAGCGCAATAAAAGTAACGACACAAAATAAATAGCGGCCTAATTCGATATGCATCGTCAACGACGAACAAATCTACGAAAGCAAAGAAAGAAGGACACCCCATAAAATGGAGGGGAGGTCCATAGGACGACGTACTAAATATTTTAAAAGTTCGATTCATTTGAATCGAAATGTCTTCGAATCGTCGTCCCTGTCCGTTCGTCGATAATTTTATTCGCGGTTATTGCTCTTCCGATCACGTTCGAGCTCTATTCAACCGAATGATTTGAATATTCTCAACTTCTCCATTCTTTTAAAATTCCACGAGCCACCAGAGTTTGGAAGAATCGCCGTTGGCGAATTCGAAATTGTCGCGTTGGTTTCGTGCGTCGGTTTTATTGGCACGGCGAACGCGAGCTCAGGGAACCGTTAATGACTCGCTAATTGCCGAAAGTGGCCAGCCAAAGATTTGTAATCGTTAGAGAGACAGTAAACGACAGCCTCGCGGTGGATAATGGCACTTCTGCGGTTCGATACCGTTGTTTTCACGTCGCTAATATCGTAGCTCGTATTACAGACCAGCCAAGTGTTGAACGAGTTGGACGCGTCTGGCGTTAAATTAACATCAAATCCCTGAATGCTGTTATGTTGACTATTCGCTAGTTTTTCTTCTTCGTTACTGTAGTATCCTGTAGGATAGGATATACAGTGGCTCGCAGAAATACCATTTGATATGTACGATATATCCAAGTGACAGAATATTCAGACTTTAGGCAGAAAAGAAGAAATATAAGATAAAGTAACAAACGAATAATAGTTTATACAGCCATAGGACAAAACTTATTTTAGTTAAGTACAACTACTTGCGAGAGTTGTACCATTTGTATCTTGGAATATATTTGAAATATAGTATAAAACGTTGAGACACTTTAATAAATCAATGACAATGTTCTTCCATACGGTCACGGCAAGTGTTCTTTCCTCCTCTTCAGTCAATAGCGAACCTCTCCTGCCAAGTAGTGTTTTTCTTTTCACAATACATTTCGATAACGCTATTGCTTTAACAAGTTGACAACGAAAATTTAACACAAGTGAAGATTATTTACGAACAATCTGTTTCTTTCATGACCGCCTTCTGTATATTCTGTATATTCTTTCGTGATTCTTTCATCTTAATGAAGAAATGGCGTACTTTAATAGATCAAACGAAAACTGATCTCACCACGCCCTACCAAGAATTCTAACAAAAAAAAAAAAAAAAGAAAAAAATTGGGGGACGAAAAGAACCAGTTTGGAAGCAACTTAATTCTATAATCGACTGTCCGAAGTACACCTGCGCCTCCTACGCCAAATCAATTTCAAATTGCCGGTCGTATTTCGGGAAAAATCGTAAATGATTCGTATTGGATCGATCGTAACGGCGAAGCAGAGAAGAGTCGGTTGATTTCATGTTCCTCGGGACGGATCGAGGGACGCGTTTTCGAAGCAGAGTCAACAACACGGTCGATTTTTCGTGGCTTAATTCAACCATGCGAAATCCGGCAACTAGGTAAACCGATAAGTCTCGTGGATTTGTTGGCGGCCGCGCGAAAAATCCGCTTACGCGATCTGGCTTACGCGGAAATCTGTGTTATTGCCTTCTCGAATATGGATGCGCCGGGCGACGCTCTCGATCGAGATCTCGCGTGGGAAATTCGTCGCGTCTACCTCCTACTACCACTTACCTGGTTACGGTCGGAGTGGAAGCGACCCCTGGGGACCGGGCCGGGTAGCTCCGTGGATTCCCTGACATCAAGTACTCTGTAACAAACAAACGGAAACGTGTTTAATCCATCCTGTTGTAACTAATTCAGGCGAACAGTTTTGTGAATGTTGGGACGCGCGGCAAAGTTACGAGAGCTGAATTTATAGAAATAGGATCGACGAAAGAGTAGAAATTTGTAATTTTGTGATTTGCAAAATACATATCGTGATTTATTGTACAGTTAACCAATCTATAATTTAACCACTATCGGTGGGTGTATAGTCCACGATAGATCGACCCGTTGTATTGTAAATTTCTGAAGCTTTCCTTCTAAATTCTCAAATACCAACTTCCCTAAATACAATCCATTGCAAATATATTTTACCATTCTAAACGTTAAATAATATATAACTTAATTTAGAAATCCGAGCAAGTTAGGAAAGCTCGTCTTTGATTTGCTGGCGAACTATATGACAATTTAACCAGTGCAGCGACGTACAATTTCTCGCGTTACGGTACGCAGAATTGGCTCGATTGAAATGTAACGAGGCCGGTAACGAGGCGAAGAAAATCAGCTACTTAACTGAAACCCGACGCTGGCCTGCGTTTCCGCCGTTATAGATTAACAACGAGCAACTTCCGTAAAAGTAACGACCACGTAACTAGCGTCTTGTTAGCGGGGGCAAGCGTCAGAAGTTACGACATAGCGGCTGATCTCCGCTAGTAGCAGCAACTTGACCTACGTTGCCGCCACGAGATAATTGAATTTATTAGATACGAGTCGCCAGACTTTTACCCCAGTGTTCACGAATTATAGTTCCGTGGTTCCTTACGAGCTTACGCAGACGGTTCTAAAGGTGTACTTGCTTCTCCTTATAGATTAGGTTCAACATAGGTTTCCTATATCATCAATGTACAATAACACTCCCGAAATGTCATTCTACAGTTGAGAGTTAAGATTATATTTATTTTATGGAAATATTTCCATTTTAGTATGATATAATAAAGAAGCACAGTACAGAATGGAGGTTAGGATTCCATAAAGTTTCCTAACCTCACTCACCGTTCGAAGAAACCTTCAAGGAATAATATCAGTATATTGCAATCTACGAAACATCAAACGAAAAGTATACCTTACAGCACAGAGCTGTGAGGGTATCCCCAGATAATTTTTATCTACAAACATCTCTTCATACTTCTTTAATATTCTTTGATGTCAACGTACATAAACGAATACACATCGCTTATTTATTATACATACTATAATCCTTGGCATAGTGGTTTCTAGCATCCGATGTCATTCAAAATTCCCTTAGCCCTTACATTCGAAGCAAGAAGTACTATATCCATTCGAGCATAAAGTATCGTATTATTAAACACGAGGTACATCGATATAACCAAGAAAAGCAACAACAGCGCCACGAAATCTGCATCGAAACGCGTATTAGCGCACCGAGAGTCGGATCTGCTGGTTAATTTTTAAGCCTTCTTTCCCGGTCGATGTCAGTCTGACGTTGCAATTCAATTCTGCCCTCCTTCATGCACAGTCCCAGGAAGCCAACAGCGGCTCGAAATGTCATGCATATTCTAGTTCGTGGAACATTGCGAACTGACGTTCCCTTTATCTGTATAGTTAATGACTTCATAACTAATGTAGCTGCTACTGACGTTCTTCCATCGATCGGACCAAATCAGCCGCTGCACTTTTTGTCTTCAGAACACCATAAACGCTTTTCATGGATTAAGTCGATCGTCTCACCTTTCGTTCCTCGGTCGGTAACACCCACTGAACTCTAAATTACGTAGAATTCAGTGGTAACACCAGTGCTTGAGAGGAACTGATTTTGGAGGTTAGGACGCGTGGCGTGGTGAGGTTAGGTAGATTGTTTCTTTGTTTATGCGGAAAAAGTAACGAGCAATGCGTCAAGCATCAGAAGATACATGCATAGATCATTATTGTAAAGTTCTAAATGGTTCTAAGTCCAGTAATGTATCAATTGTTATGAACTTTGCGAGTTAAAACAGATTTTCATGAAATCATTCCTGCAAACACCTAAACACATCACCCATCACCCATCACGAGAAGAATAGAATACCAGAGTTCAAGTCTGAAGTCCCTTCTTGAAATTACCAATTAAACCAAACGTTGAAACCAGGGGATAGAAAAAAGGAAAGAAGAAAAAAAAAGGAAACAAAGAAGTTTGGTTGGAGAAAGAAAAAAATTACTGAAGCTGAACGGCGAGTCATTAGCGAACAGAAGAAAGGAGGTTAACGTTCCTTCTTGCGCTTCGACGCAGCAAAGTTTCGTCTTCATCGGACCGGAGGCAAGGTTGTTTCAAGACGTCTTTCGCCCCTTTATCTGCCCGGCAATTCGTCACTGTCCTCGCGTTCCAGGATTTTTACGAAATTCTCTGGATCCTCAGGGCACGCTTCGGTACACAACAGCATGACGAATCGTCGTCGCGATATTGTTCTTTTCGAATCTCCAGGATTTACGAACTACCAAGAGCAGAATACTTGCGCGCGCGCGCGCGCCATCTTGCTGGACAAGAACGTTCTTAAATTTGACTAGTCCACACCAGGATATATATGGAAATTATCGAACGTTTGAAAATTATTCGAATATTAAATATCGAGTTTTCCATAGACGATGGAGCGCATAATATTATGAATGACAAAAAATATTTGAGAAGGAAATAAAATACTGCTAGATAGAAGGTTATTTGGAAATAAAATGTGGAATTCTGTGCAGAGGATAGAGCACATAATATTATTCGAAAAATTTTATCCGTATTCTGGAATGAGAGAAAATATTTGACAAGAGAATCGCATAAAATGTTTTACTCCCGGATTTTAATGAAACTTTGTAAATAGAGAAGTAAAAAATTATTTGATCCATATCCGTAAATACGAGATATCCAATAATAGATGTTTAACAATAAAAAATAGATATCCTTTGGAAGAATAAATATTACTACTAGCAAATAATATTTTGTTGATGTTCCTTTAGACTTCTAAATTAACAAGCTAATATTCCTATTATTTGTATATAACTTTGTTTACGATATTATCAACCAATGATATCAATTATTTTGATTGCGATCAAAATAAGTCAGTGTGATCTCTACAGTGATGAACAAATGAACTTCATTTTAAAGACCATTGGTACCACATTGACTGAATTATGTGAGTCAGAATTGACCATCTAGATAACACCTATCAAACATGTATTTCCAACGAAATATCTTGTTTGTTATTTGAGTAGATATTACAATGAACGTGCATATCGATTGTTTCCCCCCCGTGTTGACTTTCAAGTCACACGTGTGTACCGAACAGTCCCGTGATAAGAACTGCACAAGCTATCCGATGCAACTGGACCATTCGTGCAGCTGTACAGTGCAATTATACTACTCCCTTGTGTTCACAGCCTGTTCGTGTTTACTAACAACTCATCGAACTGCGTTCGTACGCATTGGTCGTTTTCTAATATCTTGGAGATGCAGTTGTTTCGCAGTTCGTTTTAATTTCTGTATAATTTATCTTATAACAATTTCACATATGGTAAATGTTCAAACAGTCTTTAGAGTAAACTATCAGATATAATAAATTTTATTTTCAATTCTGACTAGCATTATTAATTTTCACGATACAGTATCTTCTGCAAATTTGTTTAAAAATTTAACGCTGCTAAAGCCTAGCCGGTTAGTAATGGACCAAGACAAACTTGCTTCGTATCTCTAATCAGCATACTTCTGTGAGATATCTTATACTGTATATCGTTATATACAGAATGTTCGCTATATTCAATGATATATGTAGATACCGCGTACGTACCAGCTACTACTGCACATTCACTAATCGCGAGATCATGTGCACGTACTGTTCCTGATATTGTTCTTTCATACGGCGAGAATTTACGAACTATGAAGAGCAAACCTGAGAAGCAGGTTGTGCGTACGCGCGAGCACGCTGACTTAACAAACATGATCTTAGCAAACACCTCGAGTCCGCGGAGGCAGCATCGCTGCACTGGCTAAAAACTGTACGGTTAATTTCCACGGAGTTCGCTTAATCCAATTTACGACTCGCTGAAACATTTATGCCGCGTAAAATTTGCTTATGCAAATCACACGCAGTAGTTACCAACTTGGCATAGTTTTGCACGTTGCGCTGACTCTAACGATCGCGGTCATCTTTTTTTCTGATCAATTATTTGAGATATTCAGTCGCGATAATTTCGACCTTGAACAAATAACGAATCGAACAACTGACGATTAGCCTTGCTACTTTGTTCAACGATTCAATTTGTTCAGAAATCATGAAACATTTGATATGAAAAGGTCCTGCAAACCTGCACCTAAGGTTATGCCTGAATTTCTACTGGATTCTACTAGATCTAGCTACAAATTAACCTTTGTTCATTCTATTTTCTATCTGAGAAATTGAAAAACGTATAATTGACAGTGAAGCAAGCGGAAAGCTACGTATTACGAGTATTTGCACAAAAATAATATGGTCAATTATAATACATATACCATGTGTAATTGTCATTTCTAGTCGACAGTGTCAGCCACAGCTGTCTCTCGATAATGTCACAAATCATGCTGGCCATTCTGCAGGGATCAAACAATCCAGTTAAACACATTTCACTCTCAAAGCAGCGCGTAAGTGGACGCAAAGACGTAACACGGCATGAGGAGTCCATTGTCAGAATCGCGAGATGTTTGTTACGCGAACCGATAGAGGGCCGATCAGAGGAATGTAGAACTACTGAACCTTACGTACCTTCGCAGCTGCGATCGAAATTACGGCGTCATTTGCAGACGGAGGGTCCAGGTCGAGATCAAAGGCTTTGATCGTTGCACGCGAGAGACACTGTGACAGATCGAGCTAGAACGCGCCGCCCTTTGTAACAGCGAGCATAAATTGTTGCGCGTCAGACACGCGGTCACCGGTCATTTCACGCACGTAAACAGCCGTAACGCTGCGCAAAAACTACCGAAAACGAGTCGTTAAGTACATGCGTGAAACTTATAATGCGATTCAGTATTAC